CAGCACTAACAGAAGGGCATTAAAAGTCTGTCTTTGGACTCTGTCCAGCATTGGTAACCTTCCAGCTATTTGCTGGAGGCAGATGTGGACAGTTGCAACCAGCTGCTCCACCCCTGGTTGTCTTCTTTCGAGTCCAAGTTGTGGCATCACAGCTTGTCTCCTCTTCCCTTTGCCCATGTACCTACCCCACACAGCTGGGGAAGGCAGCAGTTCACAGATGAACCATATGGCTGTCTCATGAGGTTGTAGGGTGGGAGAGGCCCTCTGCAGCTAATGTGGGACACCCTGGCTAGGCTGCATGGTTGAGTGTGGCAGGAGTCACTTGCATGACTTCAGTACAAGGCATCACCGTGAGCAGCTGGGAACGGAGCCACGGCCCGTTACAACCCAACCTCCCAGTTCCTCTGGAGCTTCTGGGAAGCCTCAGCCACCCATAACCTGTGTGTGCTTCAAGTGACTGTCACCGCAAACATAAATCAAGTAGCTAGTGACTTGTTGGGTAATTTGTCATGGGTTGATAGGCACTCAGCTTGCCTGCAGACTTCAGGTGCACATGACAGCCTCTGTCCATGTGTGTGCAATGGAGTATGGATCCAACAGGAGACATACAGATCTCAGAGGGGTCAGGAGGCTGCGACAGGCCTGGATTTCTCCTCCTGGCTCTGCTCAGACTGGTACACTGACAGCTGGGAGCTGGTGGTCTTCCTGGCTCAGCAATAGTCTGTGCATGCATCCTCCCAGGGCTTCCCCAGTGCATCTTCTCCAGCGGGAACCCAGGCCAAGGAAGAGCATGCCAAAGAGTTTAACTATTGACTCCTCAGCCCTTCTTCCAGACCGTAAACATCCCAGTTAGACTTCACAGAGGGTAAAACAGAGTAGGCACAAGACAGCAGTTTATACGTAATAACAGAAATGTTAATTTTTTTTTAATATTAATAATATAAATTGGTTAAAGTTAGGAGGGATGGATGGGACATCACACTTACTAAGGTTTGCCAACATTTCTTACTCAGGCCTGTCTCCTAACCGCATTTAGCTTCCTGTTTTCTGGTTGCATATAGCTGTGCCAAGCTTTAGCTATTTGACTGGAATTTAGCTTGGGTGGTGTCTGGTTCGTACTGGAGTTTTTGGATGGATGGCAGGGAGGTGGGGAATTTCAGCCCAAACCCTTTGGCTGGTTTTAAAAAATTTGACTCGAAAAAGCCACATTATTCATCTCATGTTAAGAAAAAGGCCAGCAAAGCTTTGCTGGAAAGGTTCCTCCAAAGATTTGAGCATTGGCTGTGTCTAACGTGTCTGTATTATGCCTTCACTATGGGAAAGTCAAAATTTGGCCCATGTTAGGTTTTCAGTATTACTCAAGATTACAGTGTGGTCATGCTTAGGAGAGTCTTGGTAGTTTTGCAGGTAAATTCCTTGAAGATGCTGCATTGGCTTGGCCCTGCTGTCGGTGCATGGGAAGACCAACTGCCTGGGACTGATTTTCTGTCCTGGATTTGGTGGGAAGGAGATTTGCAGGTCTTTCCTCTTCATTTGGCGTGGCAGAAGAACAAGCAAGAGAAGACTTGGCCCACATGTGCGAACCTGAGGACTGTCCCAGGGGTTTGTTTTGGCCTTCCTTGGGAGGGCTCAGCTCCTGTGTGTGGGATGCTGGGCCACAGGAGGCTGATGGGCTGGTGTTGCAGCAAGTCTAGGCTGGCCTTTCTCTTGTCAGGGAAAGGCAGGATGGCTGAGAGAGAGGCTGAAGACTTGCAGGGGCAAGTCCAAGAGAGGGTGTGAGCAGATCCCTCCACAGAGACTTGACACAGGTATCTGCTGCCAAGCTCCGCCATGGGCTCTTTCCAGCCATTGGAAAGCAAGTGACACGTCTAGGGCCTGATCCACCCAGCCTGAGGTAGACCTCTAACAGCGCTCAGGCAATGGTGCCCTGTCTGTCTCCATCAACTCTATAGCAAGCCTGGCCTGCTAGCTCAGGCAGTTGCCTGTAGATGACACGCCTTCTACAGTGACCAGATATGCTCCTCCAGCCTGGAGTCACCTCATGGAAAGGCATCGCTGTCCTCTTGCCAGTCTGCATTGTACAATACACTCTGCGAGGGAAATGTCGCTACATCAATGATTTTGGTAGTTCAGACCTGTTTACAATTAGCTCAAAGGCCTCTAACCTGGCTCTTGGTTTGTTGGTGGGGCTGGGGAGAACTGTTGGGAGGGATCCATCTGCAACACAGGTGTCTCCTTCTATGGATCCAGTGGATGAAATTGGACATTCAGTGCGCTCATCGTCAAGTTTCTCCTGAAACCTGCAACCACATAGTCCCTTTGCTCTGCTCTAATTGGTCAGGGGGGACTTCATAAAGAAAGAAGTCAGAAGCTGTTTCTAAGGATTACTCCTGCAGTCAGCTGTTGCACTGCCATGGCTGAAAACCAGGGAGGACCAGAGTGTGCAGAGGGAAGACCATTTGCAGTGCTCTGCAAGGAATGGGCCATGGGGTGGGTCTGGGAAACAGCCCGATATGGAGCAGTGGCAGGGTGGCAGGAGATCAGTGGGGTTCTCTCTGGCCTGGGTCTCACTTTCTCTGGTCCCTTGTTACAGGCAGGGATCGTGCATCTGTCGGAAGCACCTGGCTGCGCCTAGTGCAATAGGTGCGGGGATACTGCGCGCTCTGTGACTGCAGGGAATGCACACGGATGCACGTGGAGAAGAGGTAAAACTGCCAGCATTGCCTCGAGGAGGGACCTGCCCCGTCTCATGACTGTGGCATGTGCAAGCCTTGAGGAGCGTTTCTCCCCAAACCCATCCCATGCGGGGCTCTGAACTCCCCGACTCACCGCGCCTCCCAGCTGTGGGGAGCAGGACATGGAGAGTGGACCAGATCCTGGGTCCAAGATTGCCTGGGCTCTGGGACTGGAGCAAAGTCAGCCTGGGATTGGGGTTCCCCTCGGGATCTGTCCTGCTCAGCCAGCAGCTCAGCACGTACCTGTGTGGATCTGTCCGTACCTAGGCCATAGAGGGGTGTTTGGGGTCTAATCCCACCTCTCCCTTGCTCCTTGCCCAGGTGCAGAGGAATCAGCAGCAGGGTGTAGGCTGCTGACATCTCCATGACCTCCGCAAGGTGAAGGGTTGTAAGAGCAGAGGCAGCTGCAGCCCAGTACCTCTTATTACCAAGAACTGGAGAGCCCTTCCCTAGGCAAGCAATTAATGATTTTACTGCTAGCGAGAGCTGCAGCTCAGAAAGTCAGAGCACCCAGAGCCCATTGCTGACATCTGGGCACCCTCACGGCTTCTCAGAGGTGATGTATAATCCCTGGTTTACAGAGAGGGAAGCTGAGGCACGGAGTTTAAATGATCTGCTTGAGACGTGAGGTAGGAACAGAATTAGGGGGAGAACCCAGGAGTCCCCTCTGCCTGCTGTAATTGATTAGCCATGCTTCCTGTGCAGGTGAAGACAAATATTGTTTCAAAAACAAAATCGGTTGTTATCATGCCTCAGCCCCACACAGAAACTCCTGCTTCTAGAAGAGATAATTTCTGGCGGCACCATGGTCACTTGACTGCAGCTGCAGGAGTTACAATTGAGAAAAGCTTGCACAGCGTTGTGGGGCTACAGCCCACGGCTTAGGATGGTGCTTGCAGGACTGGCACACTTTGCATCGATAGGCATGTTCACCAATAAGGTGCCTTTTTATGAAAAAGCCACTTGTCTTATTTGGTGCAACACAGCATCCTTCCCTTGCCCTACAGAGAGAGCATCTCAGGGTATATTCAATAAGGACGCTTTTGCCAGAGTCTTAGATGGCAACTTAGGACACCCTTCAGCAGTACTTGTGTGTCAGGAAAAGAAAAGTGTTACTCTGGCGGGCAAGAAGCTCTGCAGAAATGCAAAGTCAGCAGGGAGAATCACACAGGTTGGCACATCACAACTGCTTAGAAGTGTTTAAAAAAAATTCACACCTGTCTCCTATTTCCCCTATTTCTCCTATTTCTGGCAGGCAGGGAGTACTTGGGAATAGCACCCCGGTAGCCAGCCTGGGAGAAGCAGCTGTGCCACAGTCCTGTCCCCAGCCCTGGGCAGCTGCCTGCCACAGCTGGGGCACCAACAGCCCACATGGTACGGGTCCCCTGTGCTTCAGGCTGGGGCTGTCTGGGGGTTATGAGAGGATCAGGAGAAAGTGGGTGCCCGGGCCCCTAACTGCTCAGGACCACAACAGCAGATTTTACTCTACAGATCATGCTGTGCTGGGTAACGAGCACTAGTCTTTGCAAAAACAACAAACTTCAGTATGGTCCTTCTTTGCTTTTATACTGAGGGGCCGAGAGGGGTGGGTGGCATTTTCCTGTGCTCGGCTTCAAACTGCTGCCCTTCTGAGCTGCTATCGACAAGTCCGCGCCTTTCTGACAGCCCTTGCAGGCACTCGTGACGTGGTTTCTTTTCCGTTGTAGGTAGTACCGAGCCTGAGCCAAGCGCGGGGAGGGAGCCCATAAGCGCTGGGAGAACAAGCGGAATATGAGCAAGAACAGCCACTTTCCATGGTCTGCAACAGACCGCCAAGAGCTGAATTACTCGGGGTCTCAGCGGGCCGTCGTGGCGTCCAGCGCCCACATGGTACGGGTCCCCTGTGCTTCAGGCTGGGGCTGTCTGGGGGTTATGAGAGGATCAGGAGAAAGTGGGTGCCCGGGCCCCTAACTGCTCAGGACCACAACAGCAGATTTTACTCTACAGATCATGCTGTGCTGGGTAACGAGCACTAGTCTTTGCAAAAACAACAAACTTCAGTATGGTCCTTCTTTGCTTTTATATTGAGGGGCCGAGAGGGGTGGGTGGCATTTTCCTGTGCTCGGCTTCAAACTGCTGCCCTTCTGAGCTGCTATCGACAAGTCCGCGCCTTTCTGACAGCCCTTGCAGGCACTCGTGACGTGGTTTCTTTTCCGTTGTAGGTAGTACCGAGCCTGAGCCAAGCGCGGGGAGGGAGCCCATAAGCGCTGGGAGAACAAGCGGAATATGAGCAAGAACAGCCACTTTCCATGGTCTGCCACAGACCGCCAAGAGCTGCATTCCTCGGGCTCGCAGCCGGCCGTGCTGGCCTGCAGCGATGGGGACGAGCAGCTCAGCCAGCCTCTGGAGCCTGCCAGTGGGAGAGCCAGCCCCCAGGACGATGCTCAACCCTCCCGAGGAGCGGAGGGGGAGCGCGGGGGCCAGGGGGACGAACATCTGGAAGCGGCAGCAGAGCTGGGCAAGAGGCAGGGGGAGCAGGGACTGGGGGCGGCGTGGATGCAGAGCTGGCCGCGGGGCGGGAGCAGACGCCGCTGCAGCATTGGGACGGCGGCGTGCCCAGCCGAAGCAGCACGGATTCAGGGGAGAGGGGCTCCCCCACCCAGGAGATACCTAGTGAGGCCCTCAGCAAGGAGCAGCGTCACGGCGTCCTGGGCTCCTTAGAAGCTCTCAGTGCCGACGAGCCGGAGGAGCAGCTTGGGTGAGTGTGAAGCCATTGTAACGTCAGCTCAGTGCTGGTTTGCATGTGTTGTTTCTCAAGCCTCCTTGGTTCGAGTTACTCTGCTCCATGTGTAACTCATCAGTTTAAAAAGCTGCAGCTGCTCTTATGGCTGACTGTGGCTTTTCACTCTTTTTCTCTCTGGGCTTCTCACACTGCTTTTCCCTGTTACAAATGCAGAAAAGCTGTGATTAGAGCCGGTGTCTGCCCACAGAGTCACTAAAGCAAAGGAGAATCTTTAGGGATCTCAAGAGTGCTGGTTGTGCTCACTTTGGGGGCGTCCCGCTTGCAAGTTGGAGATTCAGCTGCAGCACTTACGGCAGAGTTAGCCGAGATAACTTAGGACAAGGACGACGGCTGGGGGACGATGAGGAGCGGGGTTTGTCCAGGAGCCTGGTATGCCCTGGAAATCCCCAGCAGCATGGCTTGCTCTGGCAGTCCCTGGGCTAGCAGGTTACAGCTTTGATTCCAAAGGACCGTGCCGTTAGTAAGAGAGGGCGAGGCACTGAGCTTTGCTCCCTGCTGCACCTGTGGCAGGTGTTACCGGTGCCTGGGTGGCACAGGCATAGCAGTGAGAGATGAGAGACACGAGTGTCATCCTGTTCTCAAGTGCCTGAGACAAACCAGCACGTGAGCAATGCCTCCTGGTCTCTGTGTCCTCTGTACTGGCAGCCTGTTTTCACGGGAGAACTCTCCAGGCTGGGGGACACTCGCACCAGTGCGGTGTCCACAGCTGATTTTATGCCTCTGCAAGTGCCTGGACTCCCTGGGGCTCTGCAGGTTGGGGGCTGAAGAGAAATGACTGGTCACTGGGATGAGGTGGGGTGCTTCCCACGCCATCCCTGTGGGAGGAGTACGGATGCTTCCCTTTGCCACCAGAAATCATCTAGGGTCTGTATTGTAGCTAGCTGGGGTCTATGGCCGCTGTGAATCTTATCGCCCTGCCTATGTACCTACCCCGGCACGGGAGAGATGCTGCAAGCAGGAGGGGGCTGGAGAAGAGCAGCAGAAGTTGTCACAGAGGAGCATGGCCTTCTTAAGAGGAGAAGGCGTGAAAGGGACAGGGTGGCCGAGAGGGGCCTGTGAATCACCTCCTAGTTTTAGTCCAGTGCAGGCTTCAGGCTGAGCTGTTCATTCGGAGCGCTGTCTGGAGCGTAGGCAGGAGTGTCAGCAGAGCTGGGAAGCCACACAGTGTGTGGGCTGACGACAGGCGTCCTTAATTCATTGCGTCTCTAGCGTTGAACAGACTCCCCTATTAAAAGCTGGTGGTTTGATTTACCCAAGGCCCCCAGCAAGAAGGAGCAGCACTGTTTCAACAAGCACAATTGAAGGTATTGAAGAGGAAGAGTATCCAATACAGGCTGCTGATGTCCAGAGAGCTAGGGGAGTCCACCCACCCCCAGGCAGGTCCCATGAGCACTGTAAGCTATGCAGTCAGGTCTTAGATGTCTGCAAGTCTCTCGGGTTGCAAGGGAATCGTATTTGCTTGGTATGTGGCTCCCTGGCAGAGACTGTGAGTTCAAGATGAAGCTAAGGGTGGCCACTGAATGCTGCTACAATCACTGGAAGTGCAATTATTTTAAGGTACTTGGGCATGAATTGGGAGAAGTGGCAGGCTGAGGATTTGGAGATGATGCAACCTGACTGGGCTCTGCATGCACAGTCCATGATCTTATGCTCTAAACATATTCACTTGGATAGCAAATAAGTCTTTTGGGAAGCTGAGTGCACCAGGGACAAGTCACACACTATATTCAAAGGCAGAAGGGCAGCTGGAAAACTTCAGGGACACAGCTGAAATCTGGGAAACCACTTATTGCCTAGGGATTGGGTTAGTTTGCTGTGTTTGAGCTCCTTAGTACTTTGACCACCTATCTTTAGGCTAAATGTCAGAAACATATGGCTGGGGCAAACACAGCATGGAGCTGGTCTTTCCTGACCGTAGCTAACTGCCTGGCTCTCCTAGATCAATGTGGGTCAGGAGTAACAAAGCTGACAGATGGACCAAGACACCGAGAAGTCACTGTCATCCTGCATCATCTCTGAGTTTCCCCAGTTCTTTTGTTACTCCCCTTCGGTATGTGGCTGTTTCTGTTATGACCCATTCTGGATATAGGAGAACCTGGGGTTTCTCTGTCTCTGGCTTAATGTTTTACCAATGAGCAGTCAACTATTCATTCCTGGGGAAAAAATCACTTATCATCTGCATGTTGGTGCTCATATGATGCATTCTGTCCCTGGATCTTAAAGTACTTTACAAGAAGGGGTTCAGT